GGAGCTGGAGGGGAGTGTGGAGCGGACAAGGGAGTCACGGAGAGAGTGGTCCCTCCGGAAAGCAGATAAGGGTGGGGAGGGAAAGATGTCTTTGGTGGTGGGGTCGGATTGCAAATCTAATTTTACTGCTTTATGCTACAAATGTTTCAAATCCGGTGCTCTCTGTGTGCTGTCAAAGCTTCAAACTGCTCACAGACATTCTTTTTAAATCTCTAAACAAAGAAAAGACACATAATCTTTTAAAGGGACAACGCAATGCTTTCACCCCTCGCATTTGACAAACACCAAGTTCAAACTTCATGCCTCCCAAATCTACAAGTACTCTACCCAACTTCATACCATCCTCTATGAGTATTTCCTTGTGAAATCTTTTATCCACCCCAGAAATATCTATTTTTTGCCTCCTTGAATTCGAGTTTTGCTCTTGTAGCATTTACAAGAGTAATTCAAAGATTGTTAAGGTTTCTTTAACGAAATCTTCCAAAACAGTGCCCTATATGAACTAGAAAAATAAGGGCAGCATATAAATGATTAAACCTTCTTCTGCAATTTCCCCACGAAGCCACATGCAATCTTGATTTGGAATTGGATTGACATTCCTTCACAGATACTTTGTTAACGTCCTGAAACTCCATTCTTAAAAGTACTGCTTATCTACTAAAAGTGATGGATTGCAACGTATCAAGAAGACAACTTACCACTAGCTTCTCAAGAGTAAGAAAAGTGAGCAAAAGTGTTGTCCTTCCCTGAGACGCCAACGTCGCATGAAAGAATGCTAGTCAATGCTTTTATCCTCCTTTCTGGAGAATTCCATTTCATGCATTCCTGGCAATGTCCCAAATCTCATTTTCGATATGCTTATGGTCATGGAAGCCTCAAATGTGCTTCGAAATTCGTTTGCTCATCATCCCTGTGCTACTGATTTTAGAAAGAATACTACAAAATATGGTATTACTTGTGTTTATAAAGGATTTCTAAATTGTGCACGCAACATCCTTTCATTTCATGCTGTTGGAATCAGTGCTAAAACAGTCCAACGTTAAAGACAGTTGGTGCAGTTATTGTTTGAGGCTGTACGTATCGCTGTCCACCAATAAGAACCTGCCTTGGATCAAAAATGCTCCACTGTCCAGCCAAAGGTGGAACTCGATGGAGCAGTACGTCGATTTAAATATACCCCATGCTCTTACAAACGCCTCTATAGCCCCGTGCTGCGAACATTTCCAGGTCTACATCCTTTTGAGGTATCTGCACTGCTCCAATTCTGGTGATTTATTCATCCTGGATTTTAATTGCTCCGTTAGTGGGTGCTTTGCCACACTTGCCTAAGACCTCGACTGCTCAATATTTCAGAATGATTTCGGGTAAATCTTAAAACCTGTTTCTTTTTTGCAAGCTGTTGGCAATTTCATACATTATGTCCTGACGGGATGATTACTCCTGCGTTATTCTTTCCCCTCTTACTTTTGATAATTATCACTGTGAGTAACATGCCATGTTTCGCGATCTTATCCAGAAAGAAATAAAAATTTCTAAGTTTGTAAAATTGCACGGTAAGTTTGGGTAATGTGCTGCTCACCTGTGCTTATTGGACTGAAGAATTCTCTGCAGTCAGTTTCATCAGCACGCCAGCGAGGCATGCAATTCGGAAGAGAATGTACTGGACTCGCTCGAAAGGAATGGCAGCATTTGAAACCAGAGTAACAGAGTTAATGTTTTAAAATGTGTTCCTCAACTCCCCTTCCCCACAGTTTTTGACAGTGACATTATGTGCTTCCGTCATTTTCTGTTTTATTTCAGATCTGGAGCTTCAGATCTCTAATTATATTGTTGACTCAGTTATATGGCATGGATGTATTGTCCGGGAGTATTCAGGAAGTAGAATTGGTGCTAAAATGATCGACTCAGAGTCTACACTCAGGTGGATGCTCATGGAAGTATGTTAATTCCTGAAATAGACATGACCTTCAGCGTGATCTGCACTTTGTACCAGACACCAACAAGTGAAACTAAATCACAGTATTCTAAATGTTACTGGTAAGTCTGTAATGATTACAGTAGACATTTGAGTGCTGGGTGATCACTGACTAATTAGAAAAAGAAAGAAAATGTTGGCGAAACACAACAGGTCTGGTAGCATCTGTGCAGAAAAAAAAGTCAACGTTGTTCTGAAAAAAGTGTCACCGCACTCGAAGAATTTATTATTTTCTCTCCACGGATGCTACCAGATCTGCTAACTTCTCTAGGAATTTCTGTTATCTTTTTGTTTCAGATCTCCAGCATCCTCAGTTCTTTGTTTTGTGTTGGTGATTAATTGAAAATGCTATTGCGAGGAGAATGAGTATTTCTGCAGCAAAAGAAGGTTGTACCTATTTTAGGAAGAAAATCTACAAAATATGCTATTACTTATGCTTGTTAAGGTTCTTTAAATTGCACACGCACCATCCTTTCATTTCATGCTGTTGGAAATAATCCAGAAACAGTCCAACGTTAAAGACAGTTGGTGCAGTTATTGTTTGAAGCTGTACGTGTCGCTGTCTACCAATAAGAAGCTGAAACGCGGCCTTGGATCTACAGTGCCCCACTCTCCAGCCAACGAATCACAGAGCAAGAGCGAAGAGGCCAACGGAGCCTGCCTGCATGCCGTGCAGCCATGATCAGCAAAGGTCCTCAGGTCTGCTTTTCCCTGCCTTCCTCTCTTCCGTATTAGTGCATTGATATATATCGTTGTCCTGAAAGAGACAAGATAGGGTAACCGATTTGCCGATCCGTTTTACGGCAACATCCGCCTGAGAACAAGAGCAGTAATGAGGAGGTGATTTTTATTTACCGGCTTTATGCGTAGGACCTGTCTACGGGGCAAACTTTCTGTTCGTTTCCCGAGGAGCAGGAACACAAGGCCTTTGTTGAGAATATCGATGAGTATTTGAGAATAAGTACATGGGAGTTATTCACGCGGAAAACTCGGCTGGACATTGACGAAAGAATTTAATACATTGGGTTTGATTTGGAAATTCGACTTGTATCTATTAATAAACCGCTGAGAGGCACAGTGAGGAGACACTTGTGTAGTGGTCATGTCATCGTCCTAGCGGACGCAAAATCAATGTCTTAGCGACGTGGGTTCGAATCCTACGGCGAGTGGTGAGATTTGAATTTAAACTTAAAAACAATGTGGAGTCGAGAGCTGACCTGTTTGATGTGCAAATCTATTCGTTTCAGGGGAGGCAAACTCTTGGTCACAGCTGCTGCATGTGACTTCATACCTACAGCAATGTGATTAGCGAATAATCGGGATGGGCCACAAATGCTGACCAAGCCAATGGCGTCCTCATGCAGCAAAGCAGGGGAAAAGAAAACTGAATGACAGTGAATGGCTTCCTAGAGTTGTTGCAGTAGGAAAGAAGCTCATTGTGTCTGTGTCGAGCATCAGACATTCAAATTCCCCAGCATTTAGCCCGCAGCCATGCATGTTATGATGTTTTGTGGGTTCGTTCAAATAGTTGCGTCTTGAGCTTTCCTGCTTTTACCACCCTTTCAGGCAATGAATTTCCCGGAAATCCGCAACTCTCTGGGTGAAGAAAAAAAAAGTCCTCAAATCCATTCTAAACATCCTGCTTCTAACTTTAGTTTTGCGCGCTGCCTGATTTCTGACCCGTCCAATCAGGGGAAAAGTTTCTCTGTAACTCCCCTGTCATTGGCCCCTATAACTTTGTGCACCTTTATCACAATGTCCCGCATCCTTCTCCGCTCTAAGGAAAACAATCTCACCTGATCATTTCTTTTTGTAGTTGAATCTCTTTAGCCGAGGCAATACTCCGGTGAGTCTCTTCTTCAGTCTCTCTTGTGCAATCACATCTTTCCTACGTTGTGGCGAACAGAACTGCATACAGCTCTCCTGTTGTGACCTTCCTCATGTTACATGCACCTCAGGCATACTGCCTTGTTCTTTAAATCAGGCAGAACAACCAGAGGACCACAGTTAGATAGAATTGTATCCCTTCTCTTTCTTTGCTAATATTCATGGGTAATTATTTGAAAATACATCTTCCTGCATTGGGAATACTACATGTAAACAATTTCTAAACAGAGGATTCCAGCTGCAGATCAGTCATTTAGTTTCGCAGATGCACATTTCCTTGTTGAAAGGGTGTATGACCATGTGCCAGTCCCAACAAAATCAACAATTCGTAGATCTTTCCTGGAGATGGGTTAGAGTTCCATTGTGATTGTTGGTGATATTCAAATTGGATAAAAATCTGGTCTCAATAACTAGGTGAATGGGGATGTAATTTCAAGTTTGTGATGTTATTTCTTAAATGACAAGAAGTTGCAAAGTGTAGATGTCTAAAGAGATCTGGTTATCCTCATCAAAGTATCACTGAAGTCTAACGTGCAGGTGCAGCAAGCTTCTAGAAGGGCTAATGGAATACTAATCTTTAGTTCAATAGGTTCTGATATTATTGACGTGGAGGGAGTCCAAGAAAGGTTCAGCAGACTGTTCCTGTGTTGGTGTACCAGTCCTGTGAGGAACATTGGGCAGATTGGGCCTGCATTGTCTACAATTTCAAGGTAGTGATCTCATTGAAACGTACAGTATAATTAAAGGGATATACAGAATAGATTAAAACTTTTGATTTAGTCTTTATGGTCACGTGTACTCAAGTACAAAAGTACAGGAGTACAGTGAAAAGTTTCCAATGTCGCCACACGCAATGGCGCCATTTTAAGTACAAGTACCTGGGTAAAATAACTTAATAACAAGGGAGAAATAAATAAGGAACAAAGTTAGAAGTTAAACGTTACAGTCAATACATCATAGATGCAGTAGAGATGATTACCCTGGATAGGGAGCCTGGTAGCATCAGGGACAATTAAAAAAAGGAAAACCCACGTGACTGAGGAGTTTTCTTTATCAAATCATTGTGGACCTTCATAATTCCCTACACAGAGGGCGGTGGATGCTCAATCTTTAAGCATGCTTTAACTATATTTAAAATATATTTTAATAGATTTCTAGTTACTGGTGGGGTGAAGGTATATGGGGATCGATGAATGAAAGACATTAAAGTTTCAGATCAGTAATGATCCTGTCAAATACATGACAGGTTTGGCAGCCTGAATGGCCTACTTCTGTTCCTATGTTTCCAAGTTCTGATAACTGAAAATGTACCATTCTGAGTATTGCACAGTCTATGCACTGTGTTCTGCTTTGAGGAACGTCCTATTGTCATCTGCTACCAGTGGCCTCATTATTGCGGTTCATGTTGTTCACCATCAAGGCCGAATATTGTGATTTTTCTTCTATATATCGATCTACCTCTGTTCCTCCGAATTCTTGGAGAAAATCTAACATTTACTCCATTCATGGCTCATCACTCATTTTAACATGATTTTGCTTTCGTTTCTACAGCTATTATTTATTTTGTTCCCACGAGCGTTTTTATGATGATGGCACAAACGTCTCACATCCTAACTCTTTGCACAAGTTTTTCTTCAACTCACCCATTCATCCTTTTAACTTTAAGAACGTAAATAGCGCCTAGGCCACACTTGAACATCTGTGCGTTTTCTTTGATTCTCTTCATGTTGATGACTCATTACTCACGTTTACTTCTGCGATGTTAAAGTATGATTTTCCTTAATCAAGTGAATTCTTCATAAAAGCAGATTGAAGTGCACAACATTCGAGTTCAGCGATGGTTCAATCTTGGAGATATTCAGTTTAATGTCGGTCTAGGTACTGGGGACATAATCACTGTGTTCAGTGATTGTTTGGCCCATTATGAGATGCTTGAAAACGTAGCTCACTGACAAGGTTGCAAACATCGACGATTTTGGTAGGTGTGATGATGTTCAACGTGCAGTAATTATCGAAACTGTCAATCTCATTCGTTACATTTGACCACAGGAGTTCATTAGTGTCTCTGGTTTTAACAGAATACCAGCAGAAATGTCGAACGTTAGGAGCAGCACACATATGTATTGGGTATACACGTACTTGGAGATGATCGGGATGCGGCAGTTTGCTCCTTGACGAGGGGTGATATGTTCATCGGAAATGTGTTCCAATAACAATCAAAAAGAAGTTGTGTGCGTTAAAAAAAAAACTGACTTTTGAGTCCCACTGAGAGTAAAAAAATCTGTTACCAATATAGACATTACTGTCATCACCACTGAAAAACTAAAATGACAGAATCAGCATTTTGGAAATACTGTTGGCTTTTTCAAGTGCTAGAGTATCTAAATTCTTCTAGAATCACCAAATCGTGTTGAAGGCCTAACAATTTTGTAAAGTTGATAACCTACCACTAATTAAAAATAAATCGTGGAATGACATAATAGCGACTAAACATGGCCAAGCAGTAAAGCCAAGATTGATAAAACAATGAAACGGCTCATGATTCCAATACACCACATTGAAAATAAAACCAAAATATAAAATTCTATTTGTCCGGATATTTTTAATTGTACACCTGTAATTTGACAAGATCTCCAAACAGTTTAGCTTTAAGAATGGTTGCAGTTATTGGGTGAAACTCGTCGCGTCGCTGTCTACCAATAAGAATTCGAGACGTTTTGAGAGATCGACCGCCTCCTCCGTTCGACAAACAGAACCAAAAGGGGCAGTCGGTGTCTGCATTTCTGTTGGGCAGTCACGATCAGCAAAGCTCCCGGGCGATATCTTTAATGTTGCTAGCTTCGTGAACAGGATATTATTAGGCAGCTAGCTATTTTTGTTTTGTCAGACTTGACACATCAATATGACAATGGCGATTATGATGCTGAGCCGGATGGCCATCATTTTTTTGCTCTCTATTTCTAACCTGGTTTCCGAACAACTTCGCTACTCGATTCCTGAGGAAATGGAACGTGGAGCCTTTGTTGGCAATGTCGCTGAAGATCTAGGATTAAAGGTTTGGGAATTACCGACTCGCAAATTTCTGCTGCTTTCTGATTACTCGAAGCAATACATGGAGGTAAATGTAGAAAATGGCTTCTTGTTTGTTAATGAAAGAATCGACAGAGAACAGCTTTGCCCCAAATCCGCTGCATGTTCTTTATCTTTCCAAATCACGCTCGATGATTCAATGGAAATGTATGCCGTTGAAGTGGAGATACTAGACGTAAATGATAATTCGCCTGTCTTTTCGAAGAAGGAATTTTATTTGCAAATCAATGAGTTAAATGCGCCGGGAGCACGTTTCCTTCTCGAGAGCGCGCGTGATCTGGATGTGGGCACCAACACAATCAACACATATCAGATCAGTCCGAATGAGCACTTCGGTATTAAAGTGCAGACAAGAACAGGGGGGAGTAAAAGTGCCGAGCTGGTATTAAAGAAGGATTTAGACCGTGAACAACATTCAATACTTACTCTTGTATTGACGGCCATCGACGGTGGGATTCCGCGCAGATCTGGCACAGCGCGGATCATCATTAATGTCATGGACGCAAATGATAACGCACCTGTATTCGATCATGAAACCTACAGGGCGTCTGCGCTAGAAAACATCGCGAATGGTTCCTTGGTGCTAAGAGTTCATGCTACTGACATAGACGAAGGGACAAACGCTGAGGTAACATATTCCTTCACCCATCACGTTACCCAAAATATTCGAGAGTTGTTCAAATTGGACCCTGTGACTGGAGAGATCAGAGTTCGAGGAGTGCTGGATTTTGAAGAAACAAATGTTTATGAATTTGACGTCCAAGCGGTGAATTCCGCTCCACCTGAATTGTCAGCCCATGCAAATGTTGTCATCGATGTAGTTGACACGAACGATAATAGCCCTGAGTTGCAAATAACAATACTATCCAGTGCTGTACGGGAAGATGCTTCTTCGGGGATTGGTATAGCTCTGATCAGCGTAACGGATCGCGATTCTGGCGAATATGGTGAAGTTCAGTGTCAGATTCCAGAGAGCATTCCGTTCAAGATCCAAAAATATCTGAAGGGCAACTACAAGTTGGTAACCAATGGCATTCTAGATCATGAAATATCTCCACTATACAACATCTCCGTTTCAGCCTGGGACGGTGGATTTCCTCCTCTTTCAGTAAGTAAGTTCGTTGTGGTCTCAGTAATTGATGTCAATGATAATGCACCAAAATTTACACAATCGTCATATAACGTGTATCTGACGGAGAACAATACACCCGGTGCTTCTATATTTGCTGTGAGTGCAACGGATGCTGATTTGAATCAGAATGCGGAAGTCTCTTATTCTATTATCGATAACCAACAGCAAGAAATGCCTTCTTCTGCGTACATCACAATTAACTCCAAAAATGGTAACATTTACGCGCTGCACTCCTTCGACTATGAGCAACAGAAACATTTCCAGGTGAAAGTTCAAGCTCAGGATGCTGGATCGCCTCCACTGAGAAGCACTGCTTTTGTAAACGTCATTATCTTGGATCAAAATGACAATGCACCCATTATTGTTTCACCTTTAACATGGAACACATCAGCTACAGTAGAGATTCTGCCGAAGTCAACATATCCAGGGTACCTTGTCTGCAAGGTACTTGCCTCTGACGAGGATTCTGGCCAGAACGCCAGGCTTTCATACCAGCTCTTGGATGCCACTGATCCTGGCCTTTTTACTGTCGGATATCTCACTGGAGAAATCAGAACAACGCGAACATTTAGCGATCAAGATACCAAAACAGAAAGATTAGTCCTCTGTGTGAAGGATAATGGGGAGCCAAGTCTTTCCACAACAGTCACAATCTCCTTTCCCGTAATTATCAATGTTACTGAGAAATCGTTTGAACAAATTGAACAACCAAGTCGCTGGGACTATTTTTCAGATATAAATAGTTATTTAATCATTACTTTAGGATGCATTTCCTTTTTATTTCTCATACTCATCATTTGTTTACTCATCCTGAAATATAGGCAAGAAAGCAATATTGCTGCAAACTATAGCTCCACAGTTTGTTGTTTTAGTTGTAGGAATTCGGATGGTGGCGTGATTCGAAGACCAACAGGACGCGATCCTTCGAGTTATAGCGGGGCCGTTCAGACTGAAAGTTATCATTATAGTGTGTGTTTGTCACCAGAATCATCGAAGAGTGAATTTCTCTTTTTGAAACCCTGTCATCCTACGTTGCCTTTCAATGAAGTGAGTGATCATGACAACGCAAGGAACTAATATTGGCAGATAAATTGATTCTCTGCGCGACAGGTAATGCTTGTTCGCGAAAAAAAACTATTTACTGTGCCTTCATTTTTAGTTTAAACTTGTTGCTCAAACAATGATTAACTGGTAGTGGAAAGGTTAATGCGCCCAAATTGCCTGCACTCTTTGTCCCGTCCAGACATGTTCAATTGCAGTTATGTTTGCTTACAAAAACAACTGCTTAGAACCATATTCTCAACTTGCACGTTAATGTACGATTTGGAATTTAATATTTCAGTATTTATGTTTTTTGATCAAAGAAAATCTGTATATTCACTCGCATACAGTTAAATATGCTAATACAATCAAGTAGTTATGAGGTACTCTGAATTCCCACCCTGGACTCTTTTAGTACAGTTTAATCCCATTTATTTTGAGCAGTCTCTATTTCTCCGAAAAAAAATGAAATTTCACATTAGACAATTAATATCCAAGCTTTGTGTGGAAGCCTGAGTTCCAGTCTATGAAACATTAATGATTATTGGTTGGAAATATTATTTTCTTAATTCATGCAGTTTGCGTTAAATTGTTAGCTATTGTGCATTTTGCTATCTTCTCGCCCGTTCGTTCTTCGAACATCTGCATGATTTGCCCAGCCGCAAATGGTTGAGACATCAGCCAAGTTGTTCAATGGCTAGAATTACATTAACCTTTAGCTGGCAGCATGGAACATTACCCCATTACATCATAAACACGCAGGAAGGAAAAGTCCAACTAGACAAATGAACACCGACCCAGTCTTTGTTTCATCATCACGGGTCGTCAACAGTGCTTTTATGAGCTACTTACAGACGTAGAATCCAATAATTCATTGTTTCAATGATTTGAGGCCCAGGCAATCACTACGGAGATTCCTCAAACAATGTCATCGGCTCGGACATCTTCATTTGCTTGATTCATCTACCTCTCTCCTTCATAAGTTGTGAAGTGGGCACGTTTGCTAGTGTTTGTACAAATTTCAGCACAATTCAGAAATATATAGAACATAGAACAATACAGCACAGTACAGGTCCTTCTGCCCACGATGTGGTGTCGATCTATTATCCTACTCAGATGAAACTACCCGGCATAACCTACATTATATTATCATCCATGTGCCTATCCAAGAGTCGCTTAAAAGTCTCTAAACTTTCTGAACCCACAATCAATGCCGACTGCGCATTCCACACCCGCACCACTCTCTCTGATATCTCCCCGATACGTTCCTCCAATCACCTTATAATTATGCCCCCTCCTAATAGTCATTTCCACACTGGGAAGAAGTATCTGACTATCCACTCTATCTATGCCTCTCATCATTTTGCTCTTCTATCAAGTCACCACTCATTCTTCTTCGTTCCAATGAAAAAAGCCCGAGCTCCCTCAACACTTCCTCATAACACCTGCCCTCCAGTTCAGGCAGCATCCTGATAAATCTCCTCTGCACTCTCTCTAAACTTTCAAATCCTTCCTATAATGAGGTGCCCAGAACTGAACACAATATTCCAAGTGTGGTCTAACCAGGTTTTTACAGAGCTTTAGCATAACCTTGCGGCTCTTAAACTCAATTCCCCTGCCAATGAAAGCCAACACATCATACGCCTTCTTTACAACCCTATCAACTTGGGTGGCAACTTTGAGGGATCTATAGACGTGGACTCCAAGATCCCTCTGTTCCTCCACACTGCCAAGAATCTTGTCATTAACCCTGTATTCTGCATTCAAATTCGATCTTCCAAAATGAATCACTTCACACTTTTCTGGGTTGAATTCCATCTGTCACTTCTTTGTCCAGCTCTGCATCTTGTCAATGTCCTGTTGTAACCTACAACAGCCCTCCATGCTATCCACAACTCCACCAACCTTCGTGTCATCGGCAAATGTACTAACCCACCCTTCCACTTCCTCATCCAAGTCATTTATAAAGACCACAAAGAGCAGAGGTCCCAGAACAGATCCCTGTGGAACACCACTGGTCACCGAGCTCCAGGCTGAATATTTTCCGTCTACAACCACACTCTACCTTCTAGAGGGCAACCAGTTTTGTATCCAGACAGCCAAATTTCCCTGAATCCCATGCCTCCTTACTTTCTGAATGAGTCTACCATGTGGAACTTTATCAAATGCCTTGCTAAAATCCATATACACCACATCCACTGCTCTGCTTTCATCAATGTGTTTTGTCACATCCTCAAAGTATTCAATAAGGCTTGTGAGGCATGACCTGCCACTCACAAAGCCACGCTGACTATTTCTGATCAAACTGTGCTTTTCCAAATAATCATAAAGACTATCTCTCAGAATACTCTCCAATGATTTGCCCACCACAGAAGTAAGACTGACCGGTCTGTAATTCCAGAGGTTATCCCTATTCCCTTTCTTGAACAAGGGAATGACATTTTCCACCCTCCAATCATCTGGTACTACTCCAGTGGAGAGTAAGGACGCAAAGATCATCGCCAAAGGCGCACCAATCTCTTCCCTCGCTTCCCATACCAACCATGGCTGTATCCCATCTGGCCCGGGGGACTTATCTATCCTCATGTTTTTCAAAATTTCTAGCACATCCTCTTCCCTAACATCAACCTGTTCGAGCATGACTTATTGTTTCACGCTGTCCTCACAAACGCCAAATTCCCTCTCCCTGGTGAATACTGAAGCAAAGTATTAATTAAGGACCTCCTATACCTCTTCTGACTCCGTGCACAAGCTCCCTCCATTATCCCTGATTGGTCCTACCCTCACTCTGGCCATCCTCATGTTCTTTACATAAGCATAGAACGCCTTGGGGTTTTCCTTGATCTCACCTGCCCAGGCTTTTTCATACCCACTTCCAGCTCTCCTGAGTCCATTTTTCAGTTCCTTCCTGACTACCTTGTAGACCTTTAGAGCCCTGTCCGATCCTTGCTTCCTCAACCTTACGTAAGATTCCTTCTTCCTCATGACGAGATGTCCCACATGTCTTGTCATCCAATGTTCCTTCACCTTACCGTCCCTTCCTTGCTTCAATTGGTCAAACCTATCCAGAACTCATAGCATCTGCTCCCTAAACAACCTCCACATTTCTGTCCAGCATTTCCCTGAGAACATCTGATCCCAATTTATGCTCCGCAGCTTTTGCCTAATCGCATTGTAATTCCCCCTCCCCTAATTAAATACTTTCCCAAAACGTCTGCTCCTATCACTCTGCATGACTATAGTAATGGTCAGGGAGTTGTGATCACCATCACCGAAATGCTTTCCCACCGAGAGATCCGACACCTGGCCTGGTTCGTTGCCAAGCACCAAATCCAATATGGCCTCCACTCTAGTCAGCTTCTCTCCATACTGAGTCAAAAATCCTTCCTGGGCACACGTGGCAAAATCTGTTCCATTCAAACTATTTGCACTTCGGAGTTTCCAGTCTACATTAGGGAAGTTGAAGTCACCCATGCCAACAAACCTATTACTTCTGCTCCTTTCCACAATCAGTCTCCCAAACTGTTCCTCAGTGTCTCTGATGCTCTTGGGGGGTCTATAGAAAACTGACAATAAATTGACTGCTCCTTTCCTGCTTCTGACTTTCACCTATACTGACTCAGTAGATAAAACCTCCCTCACGACCTCCCTTTCTGCAGCTGTGATACCATCGCCTGATTAGCAATGCCACTCCCCCACCTCTTTTACCTCCCTCCCTATTTCTTTTGAAACATCTATACCCCGGAACATCCAACAACCATTCCTGGCCCTGTGTTATCCGAGTCTCCGTAATGGCCACAATATCATAGTTCCAAGTACTGATCCATGCACTTAAGTTCGTCACCCTTATTTCTGACACCTCTTGCATTAAAATAGACACACTTCAACCCGTCGCACTGACTACAACTTTGCCCTGCCAACTGCTTATCCTTCCTCCCAGATCCTCTGCATGCTATATCTGCCTCTACACCGGCCCTGCCATCCTCTGATCTGTAGCTCCGGTTCCCATCCCCCTGCCAAACTCGTTTCAACTTTCCCGAAGAGCTCTAGCAAACCTTCCGCCCAGGTGTCCCTCCAGTTCAAGTGCAACCCGTCCTTCCTGTACAGGTCACACCTTCCCCAGAAGGTTCCTCAATGATCCACAAGCCCTCCCTTCTACACCAGATTTGTAGTCACGTGTTCAACTTGCATTGATGTAGCCCATGTCCATATGCATACCTGCACAAAATCAAGACTTGTGCTGATAAGAAGCAAGCAGGATTACACAATACAAACACCAGACAACAACCATTTCCTAAGAAAGAGTATCTCATCAGATCACCTTCACTGGCATTCCAACACCTAACAATTCCATAATTAACGACTTGTATCATAGTATTGACCAGCAACTGAATTGATCAAGCCATAAGGAGAATGTTTTCAAGAGCAGATCAGGGCCTAGGGATGCTGCAGCAATCAATTCACTCCACGTTCTCCCTAGAGCCCATCAAACATCCACAATGCACAAGTCAGCAACACAGTGAAATAGTGTCAACTTGGCTGGATGAGTGCTGCTGCAACAATGCTCCTAAAACTTTATGTTCCATCATAGAAAAAAAGCAGCACACTTGATTAACGTCTTATTTTGCACTGCAGCGTTCAATCTCCCTAGGGACGATAGTGCTAGCAGTTGTTTTTAATGCACTTTTTTTTTTGCAATATGGCAACAGGTGAAGGTCAGCATTTATTGCTCATCTCCAATTACGCTTGAGAAGGCTGTTCTGAGCTACGTTTGTGAATTGCTGAAATTATTTCGATGTAGGTCGCCCTGTGGTGAATTGAAGACGTGTGTCTGTGATTTGAACACGTTGTCACTGAAATTGAAATGATGCATTTCCAATTCTGGATTTTAATCGTCTTGGAGGCGAACTTGCAAGTTCTGGTGTTCCCAAGTGACTGTCGCCATTATCTGTAAAGATGAGAGTGGTCTTGGGTTTAGAAGAAGCTGTATAAGGAGCCTTGGTAAATTTCTATAGTGCATATTCTCGATGGTACACTCTGATGCCACTAAGCATGAGTGATAAATGAAATAAATGTCTATGAATATAAAGCCAATAAAACGGGCTGCATTGCCCAGGATGGCTTCAATCTTCTTTAGTGCTATTGGAGCTGTACTCACATAGGCAAGTGGGAAATGTTACATTGCACTTCTGACACGCGTCTTTTGGATGGTAGACAGTCTGTGGGGTGTCTGGAGTTGAGTTACTCACTTCAAGATCCCTATCCTGCGACGTATTCTTATAGTCATCGTATTTACATGGCTGGCCCCGGTCAATGGTTACCCCAGTATGTTGACAGTGGGGAATATATGGACGGTAAAGCCTGTGTACATGAACGACAAATGACTAGATTGTCTTTTGGTGAAGGTGGCAAAGAACGATTTGGATATAACACTTCGGGCTTAAAGGGCAAAGGATATTGGGGGAAAAAACAAGAACAGGATATTCAATTGGATGATAAGCAATGATCATAATGAATGGCAGAGATCACTAAATTTGACGAAAACTTATTCGTGCTCCTCTTTTCTATATTTCTGTTGTCATTGTCTGGTTCTTGTATAGCGTTAGCCCGCTTGTGAGACCAAGCCCGCAAATTATCCATGTCTAATTGCATTTGGGCATGGACTATTTCACTATCTGAGACATTCTGAAGGCGCTCAGGATAGTGTAATCATCACTGCACATTTACACTTCTGAGCCAATGATGGAGGGGAAATCATTAATGAAGAAGCTAAAGATGGTTGGTTCGAGAACGACACACTGAAGAGTTACTGCAGTGATGTGCTGGAGGTGAACTGTCACAAATATCCAACAGCCGCAACAATCTTTATTTGTTCCAGGGATGACTGAAACCAGCGGGCAGTTTCTCATTGTTTCCAACTGGTTCTAATTCTGCTCACACTCCTTGATGTCACAATTGTTCAAGTGTGGCCTGGATGTCAAATGTAGTCACTATCACCTCATCTCTGAATATCAGTGTTTACCATTTACAAGATGTGTTACACTGACGAAATATGGCTTCTTCTACAAAAATTTTCAACTCATCACCTCTACGACCAATAAATGCAAGGAAAGCAGATCCATGAGACAAGCACCCACTAAAGGATCCACTCGTAGCCAGATAACGGCCTGACTTGAACCGTTATGTCCATTCCTTCACTGCTGCTGTGTCACAATGGCTGGAACTCGCTTATTCACAGCACTTAGATGTACATTTCCAAAGGCGGCAGAGTAGCAGGAGCCTGGATCTCGTCTGCTCGGTAAATTTTTTGTTTGATGTTTCCATTTATAACAGGACATTTTCTTTTAATCAATTTGGTGGAAGACGATTTCTGCTGGCACAGGCCCATTGATTGATTTGGCTTCCAGCAGCCTGGAATGGCAGGATAAGCTTGGCACCTGGCAGAGCAGTCTCCTTGTTTGGCGATCACCAGGTGTGGCGGTGTTGCACAGGAGTGGTGTCTCGGCCTTGCGTTGTTATTTTGTCCCAGCATTGAGGTCTTCTTCTGTGGTTGCCAGGTATTTCAGCAGCTAGGCATAAAGTCCCAGCACAGAGGTCTCATTTTGGCGAGGAAGTCTAGTCCTGGCATGGAAGCCTCTTCTCAGCATGGCAGGGTGGCATCGGCCTGGCGTGGAGGTCTCAACTCGGTCCCACATGGCAGTTTTGGCCCAGCCTTGCAGCATACCCTGAATCCAAGAGGCATTAATTGAACTGTGGTGAACTTTATCTTTTTAACTTCTTATTTATGACTTCTGTCATTAACTTAGGTCCCTCCACCAAATGCAACAGTTCAAGGAGGCAGCTCACCATCGCTTTCTTAAGTGTTTGTATGGGGCAATAAATGGTAGCCTAATCATTAACACCCAGATCTGGTGAATGAATTCATGGAGTAAAAACGTTGTCGATGCAGTGGAGTTTGATGGCTTTGTGCTCCGTATGCAGTACTTTCAGAAATTCTTGGTTACTGCGCACTTTGAACCCTTAGCGGGATAGTTAGAAAATTTTAGATACAAATTGCATTCCATAAACTGAACATAACATCTAGGCTGGTACGACAGTTCAGTGTGGAAAGAATACTGTATTGTTGAAAATGTAGTTTTAGGAACAATGTTTTAAACTAAATTCTTGCATTTCCTGTCAGGTGGTCAAAAATATTCCCTCGGCACTCTTTCAAAGAATAGGGGATATCCCAGTTAACGTTCACCCCTCAGTCTATATAATTAAAAAAAAAACACTGATTAACTCTGTCTTATCTTCCTTCTGTTTCTGGAACTACCTTGATTACCTCATTTCGTCAAATTATATTAGTAGCTTGAATTCAAATACTCACCTAAAAGGTGGTTTACGCACCGCAGGGCCATGAAATAGGCTGTAGAATTCGGACGCTTTTGTGATAGCGGCTGTCTCCCTGAAACCTTAGGTAAATGTCTTTTTTAAAGAAATACGTTCCTCCTATTATTTGTCATTATTATATTACATTGGGGTTTACTTTTGACGGAATGAAGTGATTCATGCCTACATACCAAGGGATTTCATTCCATACAGGTGGCAGCCTTCGCCACTGACGTATCAATCATTTTGGGAGAGGCTATATGTTTCCTCTAGTTTCTTTCATAGGGATTTGAGTTTTTTTTTTAAACATTTAGCAGTCTGCCATTTACAGATCAGTAAGAACAGGACAGAATAGAAAGAAAAGAACTGTTATGTTTCTTGAAAACAAATGGATAAACATAGTCATTGGTTATGATAAATCTGAATGAGTTAAACCAGTACAACTTTTGTTCAACTGAAACGCCTTTGGGAGGCTATATGGACAGTTAATTATTAAATAAATAAATAAATGCCAAAGAAACTATATCCGCCTGGTTACCTGAACTACAGCAAAGTGAGATCAGGTAAAAATGACCCAAAATCTGACGAAAAATGGCAAGTATTTGTGTTGGTGAAATGCGTTTTGAACATAGATCACTGACGCAGTACTGAGGAAAGTGAGTTCCGTATCTTCGGGCTAATGTTCATCTGAACAGGGCTGGGGTTAGTTTTCTAGTGAGTTGCATAGCTAAGACGGGTAAGAGCTTCAGGTATGGGAACATTTCGTACACTAAGTCAATAAAATACGGCAAAAGAACAAGGTAACAATGAGAACAATGGTTGATCAGTATGGGTGATAGTGTGGGAACGAATACAAAACTAAGCGTGCAGTAGCTGATCGCTCTAGAGATTAAAAAGTAGTGAAAAAAGGAGCAAAGTTTCTTTATTTGAATGCATTTGTCACGATCCTGGAGAGGTGGAGGCTAAGTAGTAATATCACTGGACTCAAGTAACACAAGTGGTCCATTCTGCTATTTTTGGAATCAAAATATAATTTGCTGCAGAAACTCAGCTGGTCTTGCAGCATCTGTGAAGACAAAGAAAGGTTAACATTTCGGGTCCGCTGACCCTTCTTCAGAACGTTCTCATTTCTGGATAAACTAATTCTGCATCCTGATTTCTAATACTGAGGTCATCGTACCATCACATACTGATGTCACTCTAAGTAACAGAAATACACTTTTTTTTTGCCTAGATTTCCGTGCTTTTTCAATACATTGTTCTTGAATATCCAGGTCTAAATGTGCCATCATGAAGGAGGGTAACTGGATTCGAAATTTTAAGTCTATTTTCTCTTAACAGATGCTGCCAGAGCTGCTGAGTTTCTGCAACATTTCCTGTTTTTGTGTAGGATTTCCAGCATTTGCAGTTCGTTGTTTTGTTCCACTATTTTGGATGTGGGTTCGAAATCCACCACAGCAGATGTGGAAATCTGAATTCAATATTAGTACACATGTCGGATACCTGGCTGTTATAATGGTGATCGCTTCACCATACTTGATTGTTTTAACACTCTTTTGGCTCATTTATGTATTTCATGAAAGGAAACCTGCCATACTCATCTCATCTGTTCTGGCCTCCACGTGACTCCAGGCTCTTAACTGTCTGGTAGGAAATTTAAAAAAAGGAGCAATAAATGATGAGCTACCTCGTGACAGTGATACCTTGTGAATGAATAAATGAATCAACAATAATAATAATAACAACAACAAACTATTAACAAAGCAGATGAATTGACAGTGCAGACCTGAATGATCCGACAACCATCACAGAGGGGGCGTTGCAAGATAGAAAATTTAGGACATGGATATTCAAAAGTACAATATATTTAAGAAGTCCAGAAAGCTGGGTGAGCAATGAAGTGTATTTCCATTAATTAGAATGACATTAGTATACTAAGACGTGATTATGTCTATACTTGAGATCAAGATGTAGAATTGGTTTGTGTAGAAGTGAGAAATAACAAAGATTAAAAGTAACTTTTTACTGGTTTATAAACCTTCTAGCTTAACGGCTCTGTAACCCAGAGTATAAGAGAACACATAATAGGGACTTGCGAGTGAAGCACGCCAATAATCATGGAAGATTTTTGTTTACCTGCAGGTTCGATTAATCAACTTGGCAACAGTAGCCTTGGTGATCAGTTAGTAGAATTCTTCAGGCACCTTTCGAAGAGAAGCACTTCATAGACCCAAGCAGACAACAGGCAATATTTCGGGTATTGGTATGAACTTGTCAGCAATTAGCATAAGAGACGTTTGAAGACCAAATTAAAGCTCAATATTACAGGTCCCAAAATCTGGACAGGCTCTATCATCAGGCCTGATATAAAGGTTTCAAGGAGCAGGAGACATCATATTATTTGGTATTATCATGTAAGTGAGAACGGATGAACACTTTTTATTTTTAGTTTGAAAAACTAATAAGATAACAGCTCATTCACAACTCTTTTCCAGTAACATGTGGTTATTTCATTTTGAACAATTCTTATTCTGGCAAGGAAGTTCAATGGATTTCTGCGAATGCATTTGCCCTGAAATCAGAAACTGTTACAATGAAAGTCTTAAAATATTGATTTTGTCCAAGCTGCAAATTACTCCAATTGAGAAAACTCAGTTTGGCAGAAAACTATTGTCAGAAGATGTGTTTATTGATATTTGGTGTATGCACTTCAATTAAGTAAGATACGTCATCAGTCCAGTGTTTAGCCAAAATGATGACTAAGTTGCGCAGCATAAAGATCTGAAGTTAACGAGAGGCATTGGGAAAACACAACTCAATTCACATTACTAAATTATGACAAATAGACAGTAAGGGCTTTGAAGTCATGGGGGTGTTGTTTTCCACCGGAAATCCTCTGTCATCCACGCAAAAGTAGATTTTCATGGCTTTGAAAGGAACTACTCTTGTTCGCAAATACTGTACAAGATACTGAGGGGTATTAATGGGTGCATGCTACAGCGTTACTTTGTAAACTGTCGACGAATTAGCAGTGTTGTGCTTGCTTTGGATGTTTTTTCTTCAAATAAATAGTTACTCAATAGTTAAAGTGTTACCTTACTATTCTGAAATCATTTTGTTGTTACCTTGGCAATGAATCAACCTGGTGTCTCAGGCACTGCAGCAATTTTTCAAAATTTGCGATATGTAGGTTGTTAAAGTACATAAGATTTACAATCCACGTTTTTGTAACAAGTCGATGGTGTTAGTTAGAGCATCTACAACGTATTTTGTCATAATAATTGCTCTTCCACCAATTCAAATTATGTTAAGTATTCTTTTGTTTAGGAACCATAATGGGAAGCCTTCTTTGTATTGTTGAGACAAGACAATTTAATGATAAACACAGAAAATGCTGAAAATGCTCAGTATCTCTGGAAATAGAGTCATAGCGAATGTTTCAGGTCGACTAGCTGTCACTGAAAATGATTCAAGACATATTTCAGTGATGAGCTGAAACAAAACTGGACAATGTTCGAAATGCATCAGTTTGTAAGGCAATTGCTTATATGTTGCGGAATTAATTGATATGCAATTTAAGTCAAGGCTCAGCTGAATTTGATGCAATCAGATATTCTAAAGAACTACTGTGTTGAGCCCGCTTGTGGCGCATTGGTAGTGTCCCTACACCAGGGCCAAGAGGCCCAGCGTTAAGTCCCACCTGCTCCAGAGGTCTAAAAAAACATGTCGAACAGTTTGGTTGGAAAAACAGGTTAAATTTTTAAAAAAGAACTACAGCGTGGGATTCGCTTTTAGCACAGTGGTAGTGTCTTCACCCCTGGACCGGGTAAACCCGCGTTCAAGCCTAACCTATTCCAGAGATGAGTGCGAACATTTATGAACCGGTTGATTACAAAAAAAATGTTAAATAATTAAAAACAATTAATAAAGAACGACCGTGATGGCCTCAACCTAAATACAAATTAAGGTGCACACTCGCTGAAGGTAATCAAAGTCAAAAATTAATTAAAGAATCCTTACATGCAATTTGATGACTGAAAGTTCAGTGATTTGGCAATGGGAAAAATCTAATCTCCATATGTTTATCTCACGTTAACCGAAAAGAATACCATTTGTTTTCAAAGGTTGTTTACATTTGAAAATATAAACCATTTTGCAAACTTACTTTTGAACAATGAACATTTAATAAACAGTTCATTAAATATTAATTGCACAAAAATAATACTGCATAAACTGATTTGATTTAAAAGAAAAATAAAAATGCCCGAACACAAAATCTAACACTGTTCACGTGAATTTGTGGCGACGTAAAATTGACAATTCGTGACACCACAAATGTATTTCTGGAAACGTATTTTTTTTTACTGTAAGTCATATGTTAACTTAATCTGAAGTATGATCGCACAGTAAACCCAAATTTCCACATTTGCTTGCCTCAAGATTTTGATTGTACACTTTTAATTATACAGATGTTTGACGTAGTGCAGCTTTAAGATCAGTTGTTGCAGTTATTGGTTGGGACACTTTGTGTCGCTGTCTGCCAATAAGGAGCTGAAACACTGGTCGAGATCTACCCACCTCCTCTCGCAGGGACTGAAAGAGAGGATTGACAATGTAAGAGACAGACCGTCGCCGCGTTAATGCTGAAAGGACGTGTTCCGAAGAAAATTCCCATCTCTCGCGTCAGTATCAGAAATTGGATGTGAGGTTGCCCATTTTATCCGAGGCGACAGAGGTAACTAATAGTGATTTAAAAATCAACAAAGCGCAATGGCGAACATATTCGGTAGCGGAGCGTCTTTCATTTTTCTGCACAGTGTATTGGACCTCGTTTTGGGGCAAATTCGCTATTCGATTCCCGAAGAGTTGGAGTATGGGGCCTTTGTCGGGAATATCGCTGAGGATTTGAGTCTGAACGTTCGGGAATTGTCGGGCCGCAAATTTCGACTGGTCTCTGACAGCAGAAATCAATACATGGAGGTAAATTTGAAAAATGGATTTTTATTTGTTAATGCAAGAATCGACAGAGAACAGCTTTGCAGAAAAAACTCTGCCTGCTTCCTTTCTTTTCAAATAATGCTCGAAAACCCTTTGGAAATGCATCGCGTTTCAGTGGAAATACTGGACATAAATGATAATGCACCTAGTTTTTCAAAGGACGAATATGATTTACGGCTTAGTGAGGCGACCGCACCAGGAACGCAATTTCCTCTTGAGAGCGCCCACGATTCGGATGTAGGCACTAATGCAATTAGCGGTTACCAGATTAGCGTAAACGAACATTTTGGCCTCACATTTCAGACCAGAAATGATGCGAGTACAAGTGCCGAACTGTTATTAGAAAAGCCTTTGGACCGTGAACAACAGTCAACTTTTGACCTTGTGCTTACTGCCGTTGACGGTGGGATTCCTCACAAATCCGGCACTGCTCGGATTCGAATTTATATTATGGACGTGAATGATAACGCGCCGGTGTTTGATCAGGAAATATACAGGGCCAATGTTGAAGAAAACACCCTAAAAGGTACTTTAGTAATAAAACTCAATGCTGTTGATTCGGATGAAGGCACAAATGCTGATGTAACATATTCTTTCACTCGTCACGCTTCGCAAAAGGCTCGTGAGGTTTTCAAATTAGACCCGACAACCGGAGAAATCAGAGTTGAAGGAGCACTAGATTTTGAAGAATTGGCTGTGTATGAGATTGATGTAGAAGCTGTGGATAAAGGTCCCTATCCAATGGTAGGACGTGCTAAAGTTATCGTCGGATTAATCGATACGAATGACAATGCCCCTGAGATTGAGGTGACGTCATTATCCAGTACAGTACCGGAAGATGCTGTACCTGGGACCAGGATAGCTACGATCAGTGTAAGGGATGCTGACTCCAATGAAAATGGACAAATTCAGTGTGATGTTGAAATGGATGTACCATTTCAACTACAGACGGCTTTATGGAACAGCTATAATTTGGTCACCATTAGTGCTTTGGATCGGGAAACAACCTCAACATATAATATATCAATGTCGGCTCGTGACAAAGGATCTCCGCCTCTAGCCACCAGGAAGGTTCTAATTGTGTCAGTTTCTGACGTAAACGACAATGCGCCAAGATTTACGCAATCCACATATAACGTGTTTGTAATGGAAAACAATAGTCCCGGCGCTTCTATGTTTGCTGTCACTGCTTCGGATCCTGATTTGGATCAGAATGGAGAAGTGTCCTATACCATCTTGGAAAAGCAAATAAAACATGGATCTGCCTCTCCTTATATTACGATTAACTCGAAGAGTGGAAATATTAATGCTATACTTCCATTTGACTATGAAAAGCTGAAGAGCTTTCAGTTCAAAGTTCAAGGTCGGGATGGTGGAACACCCCCCTTGAGCAGTACTGCCATTGTGGATGTTATTATTCTGGATCAAAATGACAATGCTCCACTTATCATTTCGCCTTCAGCGTGGAATGTTTTGTCAGCTGTGAAGATTCTGTGTCCATCGCTCTATCCGGGGAATTTAGTCACCAAGGTAATCGCAACCGATGCGGATTCAGGGCAGAACATGCGGCTTTCCTTCAAAATTCTTGAAGCCACTGATCCCAGTCTCCTCAGTGTCGGCCTTCTCACTGGAGAAATAAAAGCAGTCCGACGTTTTCAGAACTACGACTCCACAGTACAAAGATTAGTTATCTTGGTGCAGGATAATGGACAGCCCAGTCTCTCCAGCACGTCTACAATCTACTTTTCAATCATACCCAATGACACAGAAAAGCTCACTGTGCATAGTCACCAAGCCAGAAATCCAGAACATTTTTCGCATCTGAATGTTTATTTAATCATCTTGTTTGGTTCCACATCCTTTATGTTTCTTGTAATCATAATTTTCCTGGTGGTACTGAGGTGCAAACAAGCCAGGAATTCAAATTATTATGAGTCCACAAATTATTGTTGCTGTAGGCGGAGGGAGTCGAATGCTGCTTTTAATCGGAGAGCTGTCCCGAAAGAATTGATTAGTTATCCTGGTGGACTTCAGACACTCCCCGTTTCTGAAGGGAATCAGTACACTGTCTGTTTATCTCCAGCATCGTCCAAAAGTGATTTCTTATTCTTGAAGCCTTGCGAAGTAACTTTACCTCTTAATGATTTGAATGTTCGTGGCAGCAGTGTAGGAAAATAATAATTTTCAACTGGAAATATTTCGTAACGATTTGTTGTTGACTGGATTTTACCAATCGTTCATTACATTTAATCCACGTATCCATATTACCATGGCTCAAATTTGTACAGATATTAATCATGATGCCTGTTTGGTTGATACGAATGTTGTGAATGGCTTCAGAAGAGCATGTTGTATTGAAGCTAGAGTACAAAGCTCACTACTGTAATTACTGATTGTCATTTTTTTGTCAAATCTAAATATTTGGAGTCGATATTCCCGTTTTCACTTGACATGTAGCCGATGACGTCTCTAAAATCTTTCTGTTCATTATTTTCCCTTAAAATTAGATTTTAGTTAAGATTTTCTGCAGCAGTTAGACATTTTTAAATAAGCAGCTCTTGCATAATATCGTCAGATTTTATTCCCTTATAACGTACATTGACATTAAAAGGAATAAATTTAGCTGAAAACAAAGATCAGATAAATGTTATTTTGTTTATCATTTCGACTATTACATAAAGTTCTGGTCATTTTGGCAAGTGAATTTTTAAAACAAGGCATTTTCAGATCAGGTAATCATGAAATATGAGAATTTTTTAATCTACAAAGATTGGCTTTTCATTCAAAATTTTGTTGAAGCATAAAATTCTTTATGTGGACATTGTGAAGGAAGATATTTTAAAATATTCCAATGGTACTTCAGTTTAGGAAAGAAGTGCCGTGACCTTGGCAATACTGGATCAGCAGGTTTAATCAATTGTAAACATTAATGTCGAAAATCTATTCGTGAACAGTAATAGATTAGAAATTAATGCTGTAAAATCTAGTTCAAAACCATACATTTCCAATTGTAAACCTGGTCAAAGAAATCTGTTCAATCATAGTCTCCAAATTGGGACTAACTATCCTGAACAATGGCAATCCAACTGCAAAATTTGTAAATGCTCGTTCTTGCTGGAAATCAAATTTATTGTCATTTAGGTAGTTGTACCTTGGCATTTTGGAGATGCAGCTGTTCAAAGGAGTGTTTTGTCCCATTATCAATAAATCTGACTTGTGGCACGAATTATGCTTTTCTTATTCGTTCACGGGATGAGTGCGTTGCTGGCTAAGCAGCATTTATTACCCAGAGTCAATTACATTACGGTGGGGCTGGAGCCACGTTTAGGCCAGATCAGGTAAGAATGGCGGTTTCTTTCCCGAAAGGACATTAGTGAACCAGTTGGGTTTTTCCCCTGACAAGCTACAATGGATTCATGGTTATCACCAGATTCTTAACTCCAATTATTTATTGAATTCAAGTTCTACCACGCACCATGGCAGGATTTGAACCCGGGTCCCAGAACATTACCTGGGTTTCTGGATTAACAATCCAGCGATAATACCACGAGGCCATCGCCTCCCCATCCCTCCAGCTGCTAATTTAGATAGAAAAGAAGCAATGGGACCAGGGAAAAGAACGCTTCATTGTGGCCTTGAAAATTTTATAACACTCATACAGCGCCGAAAATAGAAATTTGGAAGTCATGGTGGGCAAGCAAATTGCGTTATTTTAGAATTATAACTGAAAAGAAGACATAGAAACTGATGAACGTTTGAATAATGAAGGCAAACTCGCATACGTGATACTTATGTTGAGGAATGAATGTTATCTTAAGGTGATCAAGATAAAAATACCTCAGAACGTACCAAATAAAATACTCTTCCATACATTTTGAATTGCCTAATAATCTGCTAATAGCCCAAATGGTCATGCGATCCTTGTAGATTGTGTTGATTTTAACTTTTCTTTGCAGAGGTTCAACTTTGGCGAGAGGAGCAGATTTGATGAGGACACTCTGACAGGTAATTATCATCACCTTCATGAGCAACTGAGGTGAGGATCTGCGATTGGCAGACAGCCCCACCTTGTGTAGTAAGCATGTAAGGAACACGAGATAGGAAGTTAGCATCACCTCGAAGAGCATTCAAGGTGAGCACCTAGCAATTGGCTGTAGGTATCAACAAGAGGAGTGGGCGAGGAGAGTGCCTGTGACAGACTGTCAGCAACACCTGCAGGAATTGGCAGGTTGAGCAGCCTGAGATTTTTAGGTCGAAATCGATTCACTGTAGCTAACGAGAACTGTTCTTGGTCTGCTGCAAATAGAGCATCTAGCTGTTTGGTGAGTCTCTGTGAGTCGTTACATTATTTCTATTCCTAACATTTACCCTAGTATAACAGTTGGTGGTGAAGATAAAGTTAGTAACATATGTAAAGCAACATCAGCTGGTGCTTAATTATATAATTAATTGAAAGTGTTAAAGATAGAAGGGAAGTCGATGTGTCACAGAATCGCAGAATGTGGGAATTCCTGCCAGTGTGTTGCCAGCAGAGTGCCGCCGTTTGAGATGTCTGCTGTTGCTGGAGAGGAATGTTAAGTGGAAAGAACAGGTTTCAATTGTGGCGGTCTATGTAGGTATAACTATATAGAAGGGAGGTTTGCGTAGTCATTGTGAGGAACAAAGCTTCAAATCAAGAAGCAGAGCCTCAAAAGTCATAACCTCTGCATTATTTTCCGGCGCCACGTGCAAATTGTCATAGGGCAAATGAGACCACAGAGAAGGGTGCGAGGCCAAAGAGTTGTGCGTGAGATGTGGGATCATGAGTGGGTGAGCGTTACTAATGCTGTGAAAGCTGGAATCTGTACTCAACTGTACTTCACCTGTACTGTGCACAGGCCAGTCTTTTTGTTGTCTACATAACTAGGGAAGTAGAAGAGATTTTAAGTTAAACATTGAATTAAGTGGGGACAAAGAATCAAATAGGAAATGATGCTGTAAATGAAACACAGGTCAAGGTCAAATAGAAAGACAGCAGGACGGGAAGTCAGAAACAGACCACAACAGGCGGGGAGAGAGCAACAATATGATAATAAGAATCAACCAACAGATAAGACTCGAATTTATAAAGAGAGTAAAAGGGTATAACAAATTTCTCGATATCTGACTGCATGAAATGCTTGAAGCTATACAAATAACCCGAGAATGCAGGTAGAAATGAAGAAATACGACCCACTATCTATTAAAGAGACATTTCAGCAGCTGATAAGGCTTGGGAGCTGAGTATTTTCGGTACAGGACATTTAAGAATGGCAGGAAAATGTGAAGGGGTGACTTTGTTAGTTAAAGATTGTATCAGCATAAGAGACAAAGGTGACCCAAATCCAGAAAAGTGAGATGTGGAACCAGTTTGTATGGAAGCTAGAAATGATAAAGTCAAAGTCGTTTTGGAGTGGAAACCAGACCCTTACGTAATTATACAGTTCAGTACAGCATAAAGGAAGAAGGTGTGCGAGCTTGTCGGAAAGAAATGGCACAAAACAATGGAAACTTCAATGTTCATATGGGCAGAGACAGCCTTGATGAGGGAATCATAGAATGTATTTCGGACACTTTTTAAAAACCATTTATTCTGGAGCCTAGTGGACACCAGACCATATTAGATCTAGCTTTTATTTTAATAAGGTAGAACTAATTAATGATGTCACTGCAATGACGCCCTCCATAGCAGCGACCATAACATGATTGAAATCAACATTCAGTTTGAGGGATCGAGGAATGGGTTTGAGACTATTCCTTAACAGTTAAATTCGGGCAATTAGGAGCTCATGGAAGTTAAAGGATAGGTGCATAGAGATCCAGCAGCAGACATTTAACGTAATACTTTAAAAGGCATGCAATGGATACATTCCAATGAATATTAAACAAAAATCTTCTGTAGGATCCACTATCCTTCATTAACTAGGAAAGGTAATATTACACTGAAAGAAACAGCACACAATTGAGCAAACACGGGAAGCAGGTTAGAATACTGGATGAAACTTAAACAGCAAATAATGACCAAAAACCTAGTATAGAGGGAAATTTTAGAGTATGAGTGATAGCTATACAGAAATAGTGAGGGGTTTTATTACTAATTAAAAAAAATACTTTGCAAAGTGAACGTTGGTCCAGCAGAATGTGGGATTGAAGGATTAATGAAGGAAAGTTAGGAACTGATGGACGGATTTTGCATCAGTCTTCAAAACAAATGACACAGGAAAGATCTTATGAGTGGTACTAAATCAGGAAATGGAAGGGAAATAGGAATTCAGTAAAATCGCTATCACCAGAAAAGTGTAGCTGTGGACAGAAAAGTCGTGATGAATGTTATTCTACGTTCTTAACAGACGTTGATGAATTTTCCGAAAGTAATTTCACAAATTTCATTTAATTTTCCCAAACTCTCTTGATTCTCTGATTGTCGCATTAGATTTTAAGGCAGGGAATGTGACTTCTTCATTAATGAGAGCGAGAGGCAGACAGAAAGACACAGACTGCAAAACTTGCATACTCAAAATCTTAGAAGCAATGATTAAAGAAGGTATAGCTCAGCAATTGCAAAAATCCAACATAATCTGGTAGAGACAATGTGGTTTTGTGAACGGGAATTTACGTTTAACCAATCTAGGGTCGTTCTTTGAGGAGGTAACGTATTCTGTTAGGGGAACCAGTAAATATACTGAACTCAATTTTTTCCAGATGGCATTTGAAAAGGTGCCATATCAAATTTTATTGAAGAAACTAATAACTCATTGTGTGGATCGTTACATATTGGCATAGAGGAAGATGAGAAGCTAAAATGTAATGAGTAGAAATGTGTTTTTTTTTGATTGGAATGGTTGGAACAAATTCTGCACCAGAGGTATTGGTGCTGGGTCTAAGATGTTTACAAATTACATAAATTACATGAATTCAAAGGCAGAAGGTATTGTTGCCAAGTTTGACAATGGCACAAAGATAGTTAGGACGATAAGTTCTGAAAGACATAAAGAGATTACAAAAATATATAGATATGTTAAATAAGTAGGCAAAGATGTACCAAAAGGACAATAAATAGATTAAGTAAGTGAAATGTGGATTTGTCTATTTTTGCGGGAAGAACATAAAAGAAGCAGGCAAGTAGTAAGAGATTACCGAGTTCTAAGATAAGAGCACAAGAAGTAGGAACAGGATTAGGCCATTTAGGCTATCCAGTAAACTCCATCATTTGATGCGATCATAGCTGATTTCATTATCCTCAATTTTAGTCTAAAATTCACTTACAGCATGCAAATAGCAGGGGTTGTAAACTGCCCTTACAAGTCAGAAGGACTGTTGTTTGATCTCTCAGGCTGAAGTGAAAGAGAGGTTGTCTTGAAGTTGTCGGCTGTTTCACAGAATTGTGGTAATTTTATACTGGAGTTTATTTTAAAGACGTTATAACAATTGGTAGAAATTAAGATCCTTCCTCATCTGCCATACTAAAGTTAGGACAGAATTAGGAAGAGTTCTCAGTGATACGCAAATGTGTAGGTTATTTGTAAATAATGTGGTGCAGCTGTAAAATGTCTGGGAAGGAATGAAACCGTCAGAAGTGTTATAATATCCCAAAGACAGATGTTGGAGGTAACTGGTAGACATCATGAGATTATGGGAGGGCCTAGGTCTGTCCTTAATTTTGATCGCTTGTTTACTGGATTTGATGTATAGATTAGGGAGATGTAACTAACAATGACATCAATGTTGCATGTAATTATCGGAATTCAAAAGGTATAAAAATGTTGTATTTAGCTGGGGAACACAAAGCGTCATTGACCACGGATCTGAGCCATGTTTACGAGGCAACAGAGCTCCGAGTGAAAATCAGATTCTCCCACATATGACAAAATAACTCTGAATAAAGATTGCTTGTACTGCTGCACACAGAACTCAACACTCCTCTTTGATATTTCTCCTTACAACAGGAAGGCACTGCTAAAGGCACTTTGATGAATTTCCATAGTGGGCTTTGTAAATGGTATGAACTGTTCCTTTAGGTCGTCTGTGTGGAGGGAGTGAATGTTTTTGAATGTAATACCAATCACGCGGGCTGCTTTGATCTGAATATCCTTAAGATGCTTGGGTTTTGTTGGAGAGTCATTCATCAAGGCAAGAGAGAGTCCTGACTCGTGCCTTAGAGATAGTGAGCCAAGTTTGGGAAATCAAGAGATGAA